ATTATTATTATTATTATTATTATTATTATTATTATTATTAAGTACTCTTACAGCATTTATGACTTTTTTTCATCCATTTTTTCTTGGACACTAACACATTTCACCCCAAATTATTTCACCACTTTTATTTTTAATTCTGTAGTATTGACTTTGATGTAGGCATCTTGTTTAGTCCTCTTCACCCATTTCCAAAACATTTTTTAAATTCCATCAAAATCACTTTATGGTTTCTCTGCCTCATTTATTTTTAATTGTTCCTTCCTCTCTTTGACTACCACAGCTACTATGACTAGCAGTGATGTTATCAAAAATAATTTCATGCAAAGTATAAAGGGAATTGATCTCAAAGACACCTTTCAAGAATCTATGCTGGAGATCAGAAAATATGATCAAAATAACTAAAATAATATCTTTAGATCCATTTGCTTTTTAAAAAATCAATGATTTGCTGATTTTATTGCTGGTCTGATAAGGGCAATTAGTTAAGCAGACTTATTTATTTGATGTATGCCTGCATTCATTTGATGTTCAAGGTTACACCAGGTTAAAGATGAAATATCCCCAGATGTAGGTAGCCCTAACATCCACAGCCACTCAGTCTTGATAGGTTTGAGTCAGAGGTGGTTCCTCCCTATCCAAACCTGTACAACCTCCAGGCACTGGGACAGAACTTCAACAGCCTCACCTAGCCAGCCTGGAGGTCAAAAGATATAATTGGGCACCATCAGCATACGGTGATACCAAACCCCAAGCCAGCGAATGACCTCACTCAGCGGTTTCATGTAGATGTTGAATAGGACTGGAAAGAGAGTCGAGCTCTGTGGCCATCCCTCAAGAAAGGGCCCTAGGGAGCATCTTTTCCCCCACAACAGACACCCACTGAAACTGGCCCTGAAGGGAGGAAGACAACCACCATAAAACAGTGCCTCCATCTTGTGACCCTGCGTTTTTTCCCTCCATGCTAACAAAAGTTTTATGTGTTTACTGTACTTCCTGGCAGTGTTCAAAAGACTGGTTCATTCAAAAGATTCTTGTCTTCCCTGGATGGGTCTTCAACTCTTTGCCAAGGTGTCCACATAACACAACAGTGTGATTTGTTTTGTTTTGCTTTATTGTATTATTGTAAACCATAGGATTGGACAGACTGAATGAAACCAAGTGTGGTTTGTTTAATAACCCAGGGTCAACTAAACCATGAGTTAGGTCTCATCCTCAGAGCCCCAGAGAACATGCTTTCCTCCCATCCTCAAGAGGAGGCCTGAAAAAAGTGGGGCTTCTTATTGAATAGGGAAGCAGGGCTGGGCTGGCACCAAGTCCAAAACTTTCCACACGCATCTTCAAAGCACGCACAGCTCTCTCATGCAGAGCCTCTTTAAAATGCATTTGGGGGTTTTTATTCTTTCCAGACTCAGTCTTAATCTGAGCCTGCAACAAAAAATGCATTTTTGTTTT